GTGGAAAATATGCTAACGCAAAAGATGACATTGTTTGATGACATAAACTACTAACGTGGCAATATAGGCCTCCTGATTGACATGTTAGTGTGATGTGGCAAAACTAAGGCCTGCATGCTGATATGTTGGATGACGTGTCAGTGCTGACGTGGTAGGATGCTGATATGGCATTGCTGACTGGACAGTTAGAATCTAGTACATGTGGGCGCGTGTAAGCGATGAATAGTACGTCGGACGCGTGTTGCTTGAAAGCCCGTGTAAGCGTTGGACAGAGTAGATCTGACGCACGTTGGCGCATTTCAGCGCATGTCACGCGGAGTTAAGTGAATCTAACACACTATGCCGCATGATAGCGCGTGGTAGAGCAAAAGCTGAGGCAGAGGATTCTAGCAGCACGTGGGAGTGAGTGCGGTGGTTTTTCAGACTGTTTTTGTTGGCTTTGAGACGATCTAAGCCTGTATTTTCACGTGATATGATCATATTTGCAAAAGAACTTATGGAGGATGTGATGACCGTGTCATCTTTGTCCTTTTTTCCCGACATTCATTTTTTTATTAGTTAATTAATTAATTAATTAATTATTTATTCATTTGTCCATTTCTTTTCTCATTGCCTTAGGGTTATGTATTCGGAAGTGTTTTACGGCATCGCATGCAATCACTTTAATTTTATTTATTGTCAATGCATGATTTAATTTCATAGAAAAACATGTTATCTTGTTTTTATTTTTGAGGGGTATGGGTGCATAGTTTCTTCAGAAACATTTTGATTTTTCTAGGTTATTTGTGTAATTAAGTTTTTGAGATATTTTTGCTTAAGGACTATTTTAAAATTATTTTTGCTAGATATTTAGAAGAGGGACCAATTTGCAAATTTTGAAAAAGTGTGACAAGTGTCACACTTTCCTTGGACCATTTGTTGACTTTTGATTGGAACACTTGTTAGCCTAGGGTTTTGACAAGTGTAAGGTTGTGATCCTTGTGAGAAGGCCTAGGATGGTGACAAATGGAGGGTGGATGTGTGTGTGTGAGAGAGAGGTAGTGTTAGTATAGTATATGTGACTAACAAATGCATTTTAGGTTAGTGGAAAATCTAGTAAAGTGTTGTCTTCTTCATTTTTCACACCTAAGCCACCATTGTGGAAATAGAACCCTAGCCTCCATTGCTCATTTTCAAGCCTCTTCCCTTTGGCTTTTGGTCTTCGACCTTGAAGACAAAAGTTTTCTCACATCCATCTCTACCACACCTTTGCTTGGTTTCACATTTTGCTTCCATTTCTTTGGATTTATAACTTGTTGTATTCCATTGGAGATTCCAATATTACCAATTGTGGATTGATTTTAAAATGTTTTAATTATAGCTTAGGATGATCCCTTAGCTCCCCCCTTGAATCTAGACATTAGGAGGCATGATGCACATGTGTTTGGTTTATATTACACTTACAGAACCGTTGAAACTTTAGGGTATACATATACGCTTCATCTTTCTGATTAACTCGTTTACTCACCCTAGTTGATTTTTTTTTTTTTCAAGCGAGGAGACACTCTTTTTGGGTGCACAACATCCTTAGCTTGGATTGAGTTTCATTTGGATACCTTTTGCATATTTTTGACATGCCAGTGTTAGCATGATATAGCTCTTTTGAAGTTGTTAATATATAACTTGTTTAAAAGCATGCCTTGCTTCCTTTTGGATGTGTAACATGAACTTAAGTACTCCATTTTGATGCTACTTTAATTTGTATGTAATGAGGCTAAGGGCTAAGAACTTTTAATGTTTGAAATGTATGTCATTTTATAGCATGTTTTTACCTCTTTGACATAGTTTAGTCTTGGGGGCATTTTCATCATTTTACATTGCTTATTATTTCTAGTTTGGACCATGATTGATCAGATGACTCATTTTTAGGGGGGGTTACTTCATAAATTTTTTTCAAAAAGTCCCATTTTGCCCTTCAAATATCCACATTTTCAAAAAATGTCAGCTCTCAGCCAAAGCCATTTACGATCGATCCTAACGATTTGCAATCGATCCTAACATTTTACAACATATCCTAACCATTTAAGATCGATCGCACCTGAGCACACTTAGGCAGTTTTTTGTAAAACTTCAAAAATTCATATCTTCTTCGTTCTAACTCCAAATCAAGTGATTTCTGAGTCTAAGTTTATTAATTTTTTTGTTTTCTATCCAATGGTATGGATGGTAGAATCCATTTATGTTTTAAATGACTATGTTACCCCTAGTTCAACACTTTGTCCGTTTTAAACCCTATCTTCCGCATTTGTTTCTTTTTGAGTTCCCTTACTTCTTAGAATGTCATTTTGGAGTCTTAGGGGTGGTGTCCATCCCTAGATACTACTTCTCTTTTTATTGCTACTGCGTTCGAGATTCGTTATCAGATTAATTTTTGGGTTACTCGCTGATGCAGCGGGTTCTTTGAAATTTGGGTCGTCATAGAGGACCTGTTTCGAACACCAAACAGATTGTGTGTTCTTGATGGGTTTATTGAAACACTACCAATAAATTAAAGCATGAAAAATAAAGAAGTAATTGATGGCTCTGATACCATATTAGAAATAAAAGAGAATAGAGAAGCTATATATTATATTGAGATGTATAATAGAATAAACAATACTTCTATCCTGTGCAGGGAGGATGAAGTTCATTCTCTCTGTGCATGTGTCAACATATTATTTGGCCACGTATCCATTCCTAAAACAAATACGAAGATGGGTCATGCCTATTTTTTTGGGTTAAACCCGCTTTTCTCTCTCTCTCTAAATGCAGAAGACCCTAATCTCAGTCTCAGCCTTCAGTTCCTTCTCCCATCACCATCAACGCCATCATCGTCAACAACTTCGCGATGGCACACTTCGCGGTGGCACACTTCGCTAGAGAGCTCACCCCAAGTCCTACGGCAAGACCATCTGGTGGCTCCTCGAGCACGACGAGCCCGTTATCATCGAAGCCACTGGTACGAGGGTTCTTCCGCTAAATGCCATCCCTGACGTAGCATTTTTCATGATTCCTCCCGTCAGTGTTGCCATTGTTGGACCTTCGAATCAACCATAGATACGGGCAATTCCGGCCACGGCGACCCCTACTTTTAATGTATCCACCTTTCCACTCCTTCTCCCACCACTAAGACGAGTCAATGTTTGCTACAATGAGGCCAGTTATGGGAGGTTCGTCCCACACGCCGTCCTCATAGACCTTAAACCGGGCATACAAAGATAGAGACCACCTTCTGTTTTGCTTTCACGGGTCTGTAATTTTTTTTTTTTTTTTGTGATTTTCTTTTAATTCCTATTGTCAATTTTCCAGTCTTATTCAGACCATAAAAAGGAAAGCAGATTTTGTGGTGGGCATTTGCGATTTCTTAGTTGGTTTTTGTTTTATTGGTCTCTTTCTTGTCGGCAATTAGGGTTTGGGAGGTACCCATCAGATGAGTTGTTCAAATTTTGTGTTTCAAGTAAAAGCCAATTGGTTTTAGGGTTCAAAAAGGGTTTCAAATTTTACATCGTACCTGTACTTTTCTAGCAGATAGTCTCATCGTAGGACTTGCATGTGGTCGAGCTCTCTGGTGGAGTGTGCCGCTGCGAAGTCGTTGAGGATGATGGCGTTGATGGTGGTGGGAGAAGGAGGGGAAAGGTGGAGGCTGAGATAGAGATTGGCCGAAGTCTTTTGCATTTAGAGAGAGAGACAGGAGCGGTTTAACCCGTAAAAATGGGCATGGCCCATCTTCATATTTATTTTAGTATTGGACACGTGGCAAAATAATATGTTGCCACATGCGCAGGGAGGATCATCCTCCCTGCACAGGGTGGAAGTATTGTTTTAATAGAAGAGTATACATTGGTTTATATTGGAGAGGTCTGTATGGAGAGTAAGTAAAGTCCATAAAAGGTAATGTTATATATGACAATAAAAATAGATGAAAACGCTATCCTTAACCTTAAAATACACTGCATATTAATATATAATCTAACACTCGTTGTCCCTCCAAATTCCTCAATCCAAACTGAGAGTAAGATTGTGATTTAGAGAGTGAGCAAAAATCTAAAGAATCTAATTTACATTCACGTATTAATGATAATGATCGTACACACATGTACACGGTACAAACGCGTGGAATCAAATAAATTGCGATATCCTTCGTACGATTTTCTAACCACTTGGAATAAAATAAATTGCGCTATCATTCTGAATGTGATTCTTTTCTTTTGTGTCGTAAAGTAGAGAACTTAATATGTTCCTTACTTTTCCATCATCTGTCATCTTTATTGTGTGTGTGTGTGTGTGTGAGAGAGAGAGAGAGAGAGTACGTTTCTGTACCTCACCAATTCTGACTCTAAAAACCGTGGGTGCCAGAAACCGCCCTCGCATTCTTCTTTTATCTTATGCCCATACACTTGACGGTCTTTCCCCACATGCGCTGATGCCTTGGGGGACCTTATCCTATTTCTTTCTCTCTCGCTAGTACGCTATTGTACATGCATTTCATCAAAACGATAAGGTATTAAATATAATTGAAAAGGTATTAAATATGTACGTCTGAGATGTGTTATATATAAAATCCAAAAAACTTCTCAATGGTATTAATAACAGTTTTTTTATAATAAAGTCACGCACAAAAAAAAAAAAAAAAAATTTAAATAAATAAATAAAAATCTAATGTAAATTGTAATCATCTTAAATTAATGATTCATATATGTTTCCCGTATTTATCCATATTGTAAGAAGTACGTGCATGGCGCTCTCTCTCTCTCTTTATATATATATAATTTTTGACCATGCAATACGATGGAATAGCAATACGATGGCGTACGTACCAATGTCCGTACAATGGTATTCGCGCCATATCTTGCAACTTTTTTTGCGTATCGCTACCCGTTGATCCGTCTTTGTCAGCTAACCATCAAGGAAATCGTGCAAAATCTAATTGGAAATATTCTCTTTTACTCTACTACCATTGTCATCCTATAAATAACCCCTTGGGGCTCAATTATCATTACAGCCAGACCAAAGTGTTCTCTCAGTCATCACAACTCACATTTCTCTCTATTATTGTTTTGGCATTTAAAACAGTCTAGTCAATGGAGGGATTAAGGACAATGGTATCTGCAAGGCCACTAGTGATTTTCACTAAGAGCACTTGCTGCCTGTCCGACTCCATCATAATCTTCTTTAGGAACTTTGGCGCTGACCCAGCCATTCAGGAGCTCGATCAAATACCGAAAGGCCGAGAAATGGGGCAGGCTCTTTCGAGGCTCGGTTACAATAACATGCCGGTAGTGTTTATTGGTGGTAAACTGGTGGGTGGAGTTAATGAGGTCACTAGTCTTCACATCAGGGGCTCCCTAGTCCCAATGCTTTTGGAGGCAGGAGCTATATTTGTTTGATGTTTTACTTACTTTGCATTTCCAGCTAATTAATAAACTCTGTTTTAGTACTTAAAAACAGTGACATTAGGTGTTCTCTTAACTACTATCATATAGAGCTAACCTAGTAGCCTTCGGTAGTTCTAATGACAGTACTATTGAATAATGTATACTTAGCTATTTTTTGTAATTTGAAGTAATATATGTAATCTGCTTGAGTTTTTGTTAGTGACAATGTTGAGCATACAATGATTAAGTTCCTTGTCTCCTTGAGTTTTTGCTAATAACAATGTTCAGCTTACAATTATTAAGTTCCTTGTTTCCTACAAAGTTGAATGTCAAAGCAAAATGTCAAGAACAGGATAGCTCTTTAGCTAGAGGGTTCATAGTGTGTGCATTTATTTGTATATTTTGTTAGGTTGTGTGTTTGGAAGCTGATGTTGCTGTTTTCGTAGACTGGAGTGGGAATCAAAATAATACTAATTTTATCATTTGAAAGCTGAATACACCTTGTTTTAATTCTTCTTTCTTTTTATTTATTTATTTATCTATTTATTTTGAGTTTGTTGTGGATTGGGTTTATTTGGTTGGTAAATTTGGTTTATCAATCAATTGACCTGGATTATAAAAAATTAATATTTTTTTTAAAAAATTGCTTCATTTAAATATAATGTACCTGTAAAATAAAAGTGTCATTTTTCCCAACATTTATATTTGTGGCCCTATGTTTTTCATATATGCTGCCATACCTATCGCAACACTGAGTATGACAACAAATATAAATGCTGCCCAAGTAGTTATGGCAGCAATTTTTTTTTTTTTTTACAGCAAGTAAAATTGATGTTAGAGACCATAATTGTTGTAGTGTTATTGATATACTCAGCCAATAAAAACTCAACATACAATAAAATTGGTCCCTAGACTTAAAGAAAAATTACCTCTCACAAATTGATTTGTTATATTTTTATTGGTTGGGCATACCAACATGACGTGGTATGCCCGACTCATCCTATTCCTCTATTGGTTCTAGTAACCAAACCTTCGACCAAGATATTACTAGTAACAATTAGCTGAGTTTTAAAAGTTTAAAAGGTAGAACTATAAGAAAAATAGTTTCAGATTTCTCTAAACCCAAACAAGTGAAACGTGTTGGCAATACAAATTGGAAATCTGATGGGATTCAATTGAAATAGTATAAACCAAATTAATAGTACCAAATAGGCAAGAAACAAATCACTATATATCAAGCATGCATTTAAAAAGATATAAAGGAATAAAGCAATAAAGCAATAAGAAAGCAATAGAGAATGCACAACATATTTTGCCTGGGAAAACTCCAAAGTAGGGTTAAAAAATAATCACGGGACCTAATTCTTCAAATCAATTCATTTTAAAGAAAGAGGTGTACAATTGGGTCACAGCTCAGTAACCTCAAACACCTAGTTAATCGCTAGACACATACTGACACCAAATCCTCAATAACCTCACAGATTTCCATGTTCTCTTTCAAATCTATCTGCAATGTTTAGCGCACTCAGTGAGTTGCACCATGCCGAATGGGTGTGAAAATTTGATGTAACAATAACTTAGCGGGAAGTGAACAAGTTTTACTTGCTTCTTTATTCAGTTGTTACTTATTTTAATTTTATTAAAATAAAATAAAAATAAAATCCACAAAGTAATAAATAGAGTTTGAGAGATATGACACTACAGTTTTTGTGGGTGGAAATTCTTGTTGGAATAAATCTGACTAACTAGGGTGAAATCCACTTAGACTTTCGCAGTCCAGAGCGAAACAATCTGCTAATCTTCAGAGCAAAGTACAACAGATCCTGACTCAGGCTCACATTTACTCAGCTCTACCAACTACTAGTTGCTAAATATCCCAGATTGATTCTCGCGACTCCTCGTCCGATTGCTCAAACTTTAGGCTTACTCATGAATCCATGTAGAAGGGTTGCCGGTAGATCACAAATACTTCGCAAATGCTCTGACACCTTCGTAATGTGATCAATTACTCCTTCCTTCAAATTATGAATTGGTGAAGGAAAAATTGAAACCCCTTCTTTTTTGAACAGAATGTCTATGAATTGAAATTGCTCAGGCTTCGATCAGATTGAGAACATCACGCTAAAGTCACTCAAGTGTAATAGTGTGTGCTCTCAAATATATAAAAATATAAATTTAAAAATGAAAAATAAAAAAAATCAAGGATAATATTCTGTGAAAAATAGTCTAAAAAAACTCTTAACAGAAAAACTATTTTTCTCTTTAGAATCCTAATTAATCAAGAGAGAGAGAGAGAGATTTATATGGACTCAGAGAGTCCTTATAATAGGTAAAAGGATGTTTTAAAATCTTGCAAGTACAACCCTGGAAGTTTGGGTAAAAATATGAAACTGAAAAATTACCAAAATCTGATTTTTTGCACATTCAAGAAAGTGCAACCGGTTAGACATTTACTGAGTACTATTTTTCATCAAGAAGTTCAACTGGTTCCACTTTCAAGTTCAACCAGTTAGACTTCTCTTGAGAGCAGTTTTTGATCAGGGAGTGCAACCGGTTTAGGAACAAAGTGCAACCGGTTGGACTTTGCTCAATGCTATTTCCAACCTTTGCTCTTCTTCCAAACTTTAAGCATTCATACACTTGTTCTAAATGATGTTCTAATCGGTTTGAAGTATGCGTGTACTTATTGTTTTGGTTCTGACATAGAGACTCAAAATAAAACAAAAATTGTAACTCGGTTGGGCACGTTTTGACACCAAAAATTGCCAATTACAAAATTTATATGTCACACACTCGAACCTGCATCTTCATTGAGTTATTTTTGCAGCTAATCAGTCTAAACACCAATCTAGTTAATTTTCTTGTGCAGTGTTGACTTGATCTTTTGTAACTCAATAATGCTTGTATCAACACAGAATAACATTTACTCAGCAATACTAAGATGTAAAATGAATGATGAAAATATTTGCACTCAAATATTCAAAACTCCCATAAAAATATGATCAATGTGATGGACATGTGTTGTTTGATATTTTAAAAAATAAATAAAAACTTAAGCCTGATGCAAAATATGAGTATATGCATAGTAGCTCAAAAACTCTCTTAAAGGGTCAAAACCATGATGCTAGATGCATGAGAAAACGGGGTCAACGACAACGCAAGTCGCTATAACTAAATATAACTCACTCAATGATGCACAAAACACAAATCATGTCAATGTATACAACATACAATCATGTTAAAGTAGTTAACGAAAGCTTCTAAACACTTAAGCACATAAGTACGTAAACATGTGATCATATCAAACATGATAACAAGAAGCATATGAACAAATAGAGCATGTTAACGAAAGCATGATATGCACCCAAAACCCGTCATCCTAAGGTAATCAAACCTAAGAGCTCTGATACCACCTGTGGTGGCCCAAGTTTTACAAAACCTGGTGCGTCAGCGAGTAACCCAAACTGAAAAGTGACCCGATGACGGATCCAAACTGGAAGCTAAAATGAAATGGTCAAACGGTACCTTCGGAAACCAATGATACTCAATAAGGCATGATCTAGTTCAAATTAGACCATGTGCACTATAAAATGACTCATACAATGCCAAAAATGCAAAATATAAGCATCAACATGGCAAAGACATACTAAGTCAACCCAAATATACAAGGTCAATAGACAGCAGCATTTCGGTCATCCGAGATGTCATTTTGGTCAACCAAAATTAGCCAAAAAGGGAGTACGCACTCCGGTCATCCGAAATGATGAACCAATCGACCGGTTGTGGCTCAAAAAAAAAAAGGAGGCTACTGGAATTGGCTTCAAACTGTAATGACCCTGTCATTTTCGTTCTTTCCTTTTTTTTGGAATTCTTTTTTTTTACAAGTAACTTAAGGGTTTTGGAGACCTGAGGTAAGGTTTTGAGTTCGGTTTTGTGCTCGAATTTGACTTCCAACTTCATGTGCATCTACATTATTTTATTTCCATGAAATGCGTAGTCTTACTTTTGTGGAAGAACATATTACTTATTTACTTTTTCTCATAGGGGTATGGATGCATAGTTTCTTCGGAAACATTTACGCTTTTTGTGGTACCTTGTGTAATTATACCTTTTAATTATTTTTGTCTTAGGGACTATTTTGTAATTTATTTTGCAAGATATTTTAGGGAAGGACCACTTTGTAATTTTTGGAAAGTGTGACAAGTGTCACACCCTCATTGGACCACTTGTAGGCATGTTGGTCGAGAGCCTTGGAAGCTTGTTTTGATGACAAGTATTGGGTGTAGATTCACCCACTTGTTAGCCTTAGATTAGAACACTTGTTAGGTTGGGATGTTGACAAGTGTAGTCTTGAGAGGATGCTTTGGATAGTGACAAATGGAGGGTGAATGTAAACTTTTGGTTGGTGCACTTGTCGGTTTAGATTGGTGACAAGTGTATGCTTAAGATTAAGCCTTATGAGGAGCCCTAGGATTGTGACAAGTGGAGGGTGGATGTGTATGTGTGTGAGAGAGGTAGTATTGGTGTGTGTGTGTGTGTTCTGATAACATAGCCATTGTGAGTGGAAAAGTTAGAGAAATTTATTGAATCCTCACTTAACCACCTTGCAGCCCACCTAGAACCTCTTTAACATTTTTAGATTTTGAACCCCTTGCCTTGAAAATTTGAACGCCCACTTTGAAGATCATACCTTCCTCTCTTCTTGATCAAGAACACCTTTTTCCAGTTTTTTATCAAAATAAAACTAAAATAAAACCCACAAAGTAATAAATAAAGTTTGAGAAATGACACTATAGTTTTTGTGCGTGGAAACTCTTGTTGGAAGAAATTTGACTAACTAGGGTGAAAACCACTGAGACGTTCACAATCTCAAATGAAACAATCCATTAATCTTTGAAGCAAAGTGCAATAGACCCTGACTGAGGCTCACATCCACTCAACTTTACCAACTACTAGTTGCTAAAAGTCCCAAATTGATTCTCGCAACTCCTCGTCCAATTGCTGTAGACGTCAGGCTTACTCATCAATCCATATAGAAGGGTTGCTGGTAAATCACAAATACTCCGCGAATGCTCTGACCCCTTCGTAGTGTGATCGATTACTCCTTCCTTCAAATTATGAATTAGTGAAGGAAAAATTGAAATCCTTTCTTTTCTGAACGGAATCTCTATGAATTTTCAAATTGCTCGGACTCCGATTAGATTGAGAAAATCATGCTA